GTTAAGGTTAATATAAAAATTAAATTTTAATACTTCCTTTTTTTTAATCGTGCAGTTAATTTATAATTTATATTAGTCATGTTTATTTTTTAGAAATTAATTTTTTAAAAATTAATTTCTAAAAAATAAACATAACTAATATAAATTATAAATTAACTGCACGATTAAAAAAAAGGAAGGTGGGGAGGGGGTGTGGGGGTTTGGAGGATGAGAGGCGCATCACTGTCTGTCATGTCATGTCGTTTTGTTTATGCACGTGCTTTGGATATTGGCAATTCTTTATTCCTATTTGAGATTTTCCACCCACGAAGGCGTGAACTAATCATGATAATTAAAACACATTAACCATATTACAAGAGAAGAGAAGAAAAGAAAAGACAATAGCAAAAGGGTATATATCCTTTCTTTTTGACAGGCATTTAAAGATTGATTTTTCCTTTAATTATTGAAGTGAAATACTTACGTCTGAGAGCCTCTTTTATGAATAAATTTTTAACTTTGAGCTTTGATTTAGGTACATAAATATCCTCTAGATATATATATATGAGAAATTCAATGTTTTATGTTAAATATGTAATTAGTTTTAATGCATGGTATTTTATTAATTAAAATATATAATCAGCTGTTGAGATCAAATATGGCTACTATATATTATAAACGGCACACGGGTCTCTACCCATGGGCTAACATAATATGGCCGAAAAGAAGCTCCATAAATTTTGACTGAACCATTGCTTCGGACTGCAGGTCCAGACCCAAAGTCACTAGCCCAAAACAGGGGAAGGAAAAAAAACAAAGAAGTACATTCGCTTCTCGCCTTCTAGGGTCATCTCCGTAATTAAAAATCATCTTGAAATCCCAACAAATTTTCAAAAGCAGCGCCTCATCCCGCCAGTGAACATCTAATTCAAAACACCGAATTCCCAAATCGCCCACAAAAAGAGAAGAACAAAGAAAGAGATAGAAAAATGGAGAAGATACGTGTAGCAGTTAGAGCGAGACCAGCTGTCTCTGTATCTGAAGGCACCACCATTAACGGAACCTGCTGGATAGTGGAAGAAAATTGCATCTCTCTTCACAACTCTCATGGCACTCCTATCTCCGGCATCTCTCATGCCTTTATATTCCTCTCTATTTCCTTGTTCATTTCTGTATTTTATTCACTCGATTCTTTTTGGTAGATCACGTGTTTGATGAGAGTTGCACAAATTCTACAGTGTACGAGCTCCTTACCAAGGATCTTATTCATGCTGCGGTTGACGGTTTCAACGGTATTGTGATCCACTAGAGAGGTTACGCTGTTTCAAGTGCAGTTAATTGGCACTTTGGAGCGACAAACATGAATGCTCGCAGCAGTAGATCTCACACGATATTTAGAATGGTAGTCGTTGACGTGAAGCTATACAGACACGATTTCTTCGATGGAATTTACTTTTGTTCCAAGGCAATGCATGTCAAATGTCAGGTGATTGAAAGTAAGGGGAAGGATGCAAATTCTAGCTATTCTAATATATTCCTTCCCCGTGATCTTCTTGTAGATTTTATCAGATGCAGCCTCGCTGAAGCGGCAGAAATTAGAGATAGAGGAGCAGCGTAAGAAACTTCAGGTCAAGATCATGCCATGTCCATTGTAATTTCTACACGGTAAAGATTTAGAAAATACTTCATTTAGTTAAATTCTTGTTCAGGGATCCCGGGCTGAAGTACTGGAGCAAGAAATTTTAAAATTGAGAAATGATATGCTGAAAGGTGGATTCTACTTCTAACATGATCTGGACCGTTATCATGAGCATCGCTTATAAGGTGTGTTAATCTGCTCATTTTCCAATTTCCAGTATGAATTAGAGAGAGAAAAGCTTGAGATTGAGCTGGAAGAGGAGAGGGAATCACACAAGGAACGTGATCAATGTATCAAAGAGGAGCAGATGAAAATTGACAATCTCTATACCCGCGCCACCTCTTCAGATCGATGGTGTAAGAGCTCTAGCCAGGTATAATTCAAGCAAAGCAAAACGCTATAATTTCTCGTTACTTTTATGTTTTGTCCAGAAGAGGTCACTTGGATAGCAGGATAGCATAACCTTCTTTGTAGTACTTGGATAGAACAAAATTGGTAACAGATCTTGGTTTTGCCATCATCCACTTTTGATCAATATATTCTTGCTGTAATCCAGAGCAACTTGCCCTGGTTCTAGGACTTCTCAATCATATATGTCCATATCAGTGATGCAGCATATCTAAACTTTCTTAATGATGAATTTATATGACTACTGGTATGATTTTTAAGGAAGCACCTGAAGGACGCCGAAAAATATAGCTATACAAATCAGAGACCTGGTGCGAACTGAGCGTGCGCTGATGCATGTAAAATATGCCATCTCAAACCTATTTCCTACTGGTCTTCTATCGTCAAGCTTTGCGTTAAAATAACATGGCTAATAATAAATTTGTATTTATTCAATATATTACATGTAGTACATGGCAAATAATAAATTTGTATTCATTCAATATATTACATGTAATCATTACTATTCTTTCTGTGTTTTCTTTTGCATTAAAAAAATTTCGTCACTTCTATTTGGTGACTAATGTTCTGATAATAAAAATCACTATTATTGGTAGGAACAGAATGCTGGGAAACAGAGCCTCGAGGAATTCAGCGACAGCAATATTGTTTTCCAAGAAGATGTTTTTGGAACCCCTACATTGATTCAATCCAAATGACTCCTGCAAGGGAAGTTCAATCCTTTCCTTATAGTGATGTGACACCAGTGAGTTTATGTTAAATTATTCATGTACTCAATCTTGTTGTCTGTAACTGCTACTTGTCTCTTTCCTATGTGTTAAACTAAGGAAAAAGCCTGAGATGACAATATTATTTACTATTCAGAACTTGTGTCTAAAAGAAATGTAACAACTAGAAGAACTATTCACTTTCCACTCATATTCCTCTTTCTTCTAAATGTTGGTCTGATTCATTTTTTGTTTGATTTTTCTTGCTTGCATGTGGATGGTTATCTCTCCATTTCATGCATAGGCCCAATAACAATAACAAAGTTGAATTAGAAGTTATGGGTTTCCATCTTTGGAAACTTATAAAAAATAAATTAATTAATGAATAAAGCTTACATCTTGGTATGGCCTTTATTAAATCAGTCTTTGGGTGTTGTGGCATTTTGAAACTTTGGTTGATGAATGACTATGGTTGTAGTTCCTTTTTATGTTTCTATGTTTAGATAATAATAGTAGTTCCATCCAGCCACATAATTTTGTGTAGCCATGACTCATCCAAATCTCTTTCAGGGTTATTCAACTGAGAATCACAAAGTAGATGTCCAGAATCTCAAAAGGCAACTAGATCTTGTCCTTGAAGAGAAGAATGAAGTCGAGGCTTGCCTCCAATTTTGCTTTCACCATTTCTCAATTTTCAATTTCATGAATCGGTTGATGATTCAGTGAGTTAGCTTGATATTTGAAAGTGGAATGTTTTTGTTGACTGTTCAGCATTGTCGTTTGCTTTCTTCAAGTATTTCATTGGATACTTTTTTATATAGTACGCACCATCACTATTGGTAAATTTGATTTAGAAATGCAACCAAATTGCAGTTTATAGCAGAGGAACGTGCCATGGCGACTCTTTAGTGTGCTATCTTTTTCCATTTTTGACTCCTTTCAAAATTAGAAGAAAAATACTTCAAAATTCCTGTCCACACACTAAGTTTCCATCCATTTCTGGACTTAGCTACGCATTGATCTCTATAGAAAGCCTTCCATCCAATTTCAAACCTCTAAATAAATGCTCTTTCTAGGTATATTTCTTACTCTAAGTAGTAGGACTCTTGATATCTATGTAAATTAATGTAAAATGGCCCAAGTTTTTTGGCTGATCTTGCCATTCATTTCTGTTTGTTATTCTTCCGGTGCAAGTATTTAATCTTTATTTATTACATGCACATGATTGCAGAAAAAGCACTTGAAACAATTAAATGATCATTTAATGGGGGAGATATCAGAACTCAAACATGAAGTAGTGCTAGTTCGAGAAATACCTCAAAGGCTATGTGAATCTATGGCTAGTTGCAGAGATATTAACAAAGATGTTCTGTTAACATTGCAGGTGAAGCTGTGCATTCATCTCTCTTTCAATTCTTTTTAACTGATAATATTAAATTAGTAAAATGTGATTTCTACCTTGATATCCAAACAGAGTTTTGTACCTGATGGAGACTCTTCAATTGGGAAATTCCTGTCTACCACATGTGAAATAGGCTTAAGCCTTTTCTCAAATTTGGAAAAGCGTTTCTCTATGGAAATGGACGGTCACAAATCTTTCAATGTGAATGATTCTTTGGTTCAAGAAAACTGGAAAGTGCTTTCTGAAAGGTTGAAAGGCACAATTACATCCCTGGCATTACCAGACAAACTAGCTGTTCAGAATAAAGAAGAGAAGAATCCTATATGTGGCTCCGCTTATAAGGTAGCTACCTGGTCACAGTCATCGAGATATCATTTATCAATTATGATTTTATTTTTTGTCCTGATGTTTGGATGTGTTGTTCCCTTTTTCAGAATTTCGATCATTTAATTTCCTGTATTTTGGGCAAATCATGATGTTGCCTGTCTAGCTATTTATAAAAAAAAAATTGACAATACAAGCCAAGAGAGAAGTAGAATTGTATTTGAGTTTGTGATCATGTCATGGACAGTATGGCTGATATTTGAAACATTCTAATAAACAATTTTGATAACTCAAAATGTGTCCATTTTTAGTTCTGCTGGAATTTCTTTCGAGGCGCATTTGAATGCAAAGGGTAAACTTGCAAGTATGTGATCAGGAGACAAGACATATAGAGTTATATTCCGTGGATCTTATTTATATTTCTGACTTTTACAGTGAACCAGTTTTCTGTTTGCTGTGAAGTCCACATAATGCATGTTGTCAAGTTCCAAAAAACTGAGGCAGAATTGATCGTTAACCTACTTTTATGGTATACTAAGTTGGAGATGAAAGAACTGCTTGCAGATCAAATCATACACCTTTCAGGCTACATTACATTGTTTGAAGGTTTAGTTTTGAGATGTGATAAAGGAATGCGCTTTGGGAGAAGAACCTGCTTCTTGGAAGAGAAACGGAACAATGAACTTGATGCTATCAAGGAAAAACGCCATGTCTTGGAGGTTTCTGAAGGTTTACAGAGAAAGATATGATACCCTGGAAAGAGAATGTTGGCTTTTGAGAGAAGAAAGAGATTCTTCGGTTGAAAAAGTCCCCGAATCATCTAAAAAACTAGCAGTGGTTGTTGATCAAAAGGAAAAGCATCTTCAAGGATTTGAACACTGAAGTAGAGAGAAGGGAAAGTCTTGAGAAAGAGATCAGAACTTTCAGTGTTGATTTTGCTACTTGGAAGCAGATTCTTGACTCAAACATAACAGCACTGTTTATTACCATACATACTGAAGAAATAAGGATTCGTTTACAAAGCAAAATCCGACTTCACTACCTCTTCAACGTGGCAGAACCGAAATCATTAATTGTGGACAATGACTGAACACGTGTTCCAACAGGATTTGTAAGTCCGTTGTGGATTTTGATTCTAATACTTGCGTGACCAAAAGTTCGAAAATCGACATCGCCTCGTGGTGGCATTGCTTGCCTACTCAGTCTTGCAGCCAGAGTCTCTTTCAGTGAGTTAGCACTCATCACCCATGTTCGTCCCTTAGCCTTTCTTATATTTTTTGAAGGTGACAAATTTCAATCGTTTTCCTTACAATGAACTTATCATTAAACTTTTTTACCCTTCATCGCATAATTGGTCAGTTAGCATTTCTAATAACTTCTTTGTTATTGTATGCTCCATCATGTATTGAAATAAATACAGAAACATTTAATTTTTTTGCTTAAAAAAATATTTTTTTACAAAGTCAAGTAAATATAATAAAAAGCACTTTGGATTGCCTAACTTTTAGATTATAATAATGATTATTTTTTAAAAAAATCTTGTTTAAAAATATATTAAAAAATATTTTTTAAAAATTTATTTTTGATAGCGATACATCAAAAAAATCTAAAATCATAAAAAAAATTCAAAAAATTCAAAAATAATTTTCTACTATAAAAACAAACACAGTCGTCCACGTCTTATACATGTAAATGTCAAGTAGACACAGGAAACATAGAGCCAGCCAGGCTTCATTGACTACCCCAGAGGGAAAAGGAAAGAAAGAAAGGGTATAGAAAACAGAACGAAAGAAAACAAGTTTTCCCTCTCACGAAAGGCATTGATTCAAGCAAAGATGCTTAGTTCCATAGCATGGGAGCGAGTCCCTACGCGGTTATTGTTTTGGATTATTGATTAGATGGTGATGGGTCTAAGGCCCACAGCTCCCATTCACTTATGAGCTTTTCCATGGTATGGGCCCCAATTGACCCACGATTGAAAGTCGATCTTTATACCATGAAAATCATCACACGGATCATCATTGGGGACTGGATTGGAATCCATTCCACTTACGTTCTGTCACATCATTCAACATAGCAGTCTGTTTTTTTTTTATTATTATTAGTGTTTATTTTTAGACAAATTTATATCTATCTTCATTACTTTTATAAATTTTCAAATTAATAATCATATATATTTTTACTTTAAAATTTATAAAATTCAAATTAATAATTTATAAAAAATAAATTTAAAACTGAAACAGTTAAACATTGTCTAAATTTTTATAACAGTCTGTTTTTACTCCTTTTTTTTTTTAGCTATCTTCTATGTTCGTAACAGTAATTTTTACGAATGACTAATTTACGGATAAACTATAAAATCACAGTGCCATATTGCCCCCTTCACATTGTTTTCCTGTTCATTAAAATACTTGGTGGCTAGCTTGTTTAGACTCAATTTTTTTATTTGTATTCAAGTTTTTTTATTTTTATTTAATAATTATAGTTTAATTTTTTAAAACTAATTCTTGATAAAATTATGGAATGATATTTAAAATTATAAATACATGAGAGAATATAAAATAAAATAATATTTTAAAAACTAATGAAAATTCAGTATAAGAAAATTTTTTGCAATAGTTATGAAAATACAGTATAAGAAAATTTTTTGCAATAGTTATCCATATAGTTTTTTTTTGTCACTTGACTTTTTTTATTCTCAATTTCATTGATTTTTTGTTTCGGTTGATTTTATATAGATAGGGCTCTCGGTATGTTAAAAATATAGATTTTGAAGTTAATACTTAATTTGACAAAATAAAATTTAATTTTAGTAATTTAAACTAATTATAACTTTAGAGATCCAATTTCAAAATGAAATAAATATTCAAATTTTTTATTAAAAAATAAAATTTTAGTGATATTTTATCTCAAACATAATATGATTAATATCAAATTAATATTCAATTATAAATTAGTCTAAAGGATTTAGACTATGATTTTTAAATAATATCAATTTATCTCAAACACATAATTAATCACAAGACAATCTCTCATTCATGATTTTATTGATAACAAATATTTTATTATAGTGATATTTTCTAAAGTAATATTAAATATTTGATAAAGGAGAATATTTGTATCTAATTTCTCACTTTTTAAAAAAACAATTAGGATACATTCCCATTGGTTTGGGCTTCTTAGTTTAAAATCTTTATTTTTATACGTACACTTCTATTTTTTTGATAGTGATGTTATCAGTTAATATACATATTTTTTACACATGCCACGTGATTTACTGGAATTGAACAAAATGATAGAAAACTGAATAAAGCATGTATTAAGAGGGTAAAATCTACCAAAATCCATATATATATATAAAAAAAACACGACAGAACATGGCTTTAGCCCGCATATACATACTCCATCTATAGGCATCCTAAAAAAAAAATACACAACAGAACATGGCTTTAGCCCACATATACATACTCCATCTATAGGCATCCTTGATAATTAGATAGAGTGGTCAAGCGATGCTCTTCAAATAAATATGCTTTTCGTTGCTAATATAACTAAGAACACTACTAAACAAGCACAAGTAAAAATAATCACAGCAACACAAGCAGACCCGTAACGTGTTGGGTACCCTCTCCAAAAGGACAAGTTTTTTTGGGGGACCATACATGCATAGCAACAACTAGTGTCTCTCACAGGGGATGGGTAGGATTGCACGAGGTCAGAAGGCTGCCAATAATGACAATAAATGACACGGCCAAAAGACTGAAATAAAAGATACCAAACCTTGTGATTACAGGGTGATCTGGAACTCAAATGGGTACCACCAAGAGTTAAAGCCATATAGCCTGGAGATGAACGACAAGATGTCTCTGTCCCTCACTATCCAAGACCTAGATGTCCGTTCTCCCTACTATTTCTGCTCTTTATTAGTCCCAAACTAACAGATGTGCTCAGTATATCCCACTTCCTCCGGAAACTTGAAGACACCCTTCTGCAATGGCTATCACAGAAACAAAACCAGTTAAGCAACTTCGAGAACTCCTTCAAGAGCAGCAGGAACCTTTCATCCTAAATATTTACCTTCTAGAAAGAGGATACTCAAGAAAGGGCCCGGATTCAGAAAACAGCTCCAGGTTCTGCCATGTGTATTCCAGGAAGTCGCTAAAGCGATCTGTCGGTCATGGAGTAAACATAAGCAAAAGGGTCAATCCTCAAGGTTCCAAGGTACTGAGAGCTGTATTAAAACAGGTCATTTCCATAAAGCAGATGCTAAGAATCAATAGTTCTGATCATGGAGGTGGAAAACTTGAGGTAAATGAGAAGGGCAGAAGTAACCAGCAAGTTGCAGAATCAGATATATTTTCAACTGCTAGCAGCAAAACAGTGTTTAATTCTTCTAAGAGTGAAGTAGAAGCGCCATGTGCAACGCAAAGAGATAGCTTGTTCACAACAAACACTTGTTACCAGCCACTCAACCTCCATAATCCTACAGACGAGGTAGAAAAACTATAATTTCTCATTGACATCATAATTATTAGACAGAAGTTAAATTTTACATTTGTTTCTTTAAATGCCCAAGGAATACAGACTTGCAGTTACTCACAAAACCAACAGACTACTACAGATAGAAAGCTCCAACAGCGAGGCATAGAGGATAGTAGAAGACTCAGCCCAGCATCCGGGCTGGAAGGAATACCTTCTAATGGACGTTCCCCATTTCAGAACAGTTAGGATCTTTATCTGCTATGAATTCAGCATAAGTTTATGATTTTGCTACCAGCCTCTTTTAACTTTTTCTTAAAATTGAACTCTTTAACTTGTTCTAACAGATAATACAGAGCACTCCAGTACAGCAGAAGAGGAGAACCCTTCGAAAACTGGAGTTAATTTACCCAAAAAGTTGACAGAAGACTGCATTTTATCAGATGCTCTTCGGAAAGTACTTTTCTACTCACCAAATGAGAAGCCAATTTGCGCAGAAGCCAGAGAAAGACAAGAACTCGTTCAGTCTTATTTTTCTCCACAGTACTTGAAATCCAAAATGGTTCTGCAGCAAACAAAGCAACTTCTGTTCGACTATGTGAAGGAGATTGTTGAGACCAAAGGAAGGGAGATGAAGCAGCAATGTCATCACAAGCAATTCTTGGGGTTGGAAGAGCCTGGATCAATCATTGGTGAAAAAACAAGGCCATGGGATAAACAATCTGTTAATGAGTCAGACTTGACAAAATTGCTGAATTTAGATGTACTGAATTCAGAACTAGAATTGAGTAATTACAAGTCAGAGAGAAGGGATAATGGGTTAGATATCGGAGATCCTGTTTTTGATTTACTGGATTCAGAACAAGACTGGAATGGGTTTGAGCTACAGAGGGAAATTGGTTCAGAGATTGGAGATACCATTCTAGGAGAGCTTGTTACTGACATAGTAAAAAACATGATTGATTTCTCATCATTGATTACCACATGTTAAGCTTAAGCTATTTTCAAAATTTAATTAATTCCCAACTCTTCAACTTTTTGTCACCACTTTCCATCTCCCTGAATTCAGATATCAATCTCTGCTGCCATAGGTTGTTTGCTGATAAAAAAAACAAAACAGAAAGATAGTTGGCATTCCATTAAATAAAACTTTTACATCCATTTTATTAAATATAATAAAATAAGGACACTTTCAAGCAGTAATCACTATCCATAATTACAGAACTTTTAGCATTATCCATGTATCTTTCACTGAGCTAAACCACAAATACCCCACTCAAATAGCACATCAAGGTCAATCAGAAGGTTGCCAAGCCATCATATGGCTGTATGAGGACCACATTTTCCACGTGCCACCCCTGTATTACTTCCAGTCATAGGAGATTAGGACCACACTAGTCGATGCTCATGTTTTAACCACCAAAAGTAATGCAAATAGTTGAAAGCTAAGACATGTTATAGGAATCTCTAATTATATGGGAAAGTTCCTGTTGGTTCCACAACCACATTGTCTTCTGGCTCCATGTCCTTTCTTCCAAGAGAAGGCTTTTGTATAATCCAGTCCTGAAGTTTCGATCATAGCCGAGTTGAATTAATCATTATTATCAAAACAAGAATAAGATTACGAGCATCCATTTCCCTTGAAAAACCTTTTAGCTTCCACTCCTGTTCTCCTAATTCCATTTTACTATTGAATTATTCCTGCTAAAGTAAAATTTATCCTGTCATTTCTTTGCCCAGCCTTTTCAAGCCAAAGCCATATTCATGGTCCCTGGTACAAAAATCAAAAGCACCCTATACTCTCATCTTATCAAACCAGCAGTTCTTATGGCCAGCCAAACTTTCAGAATCTATTAAGTTCATATTATCTCCAAAACAATATTATGTAATTTTTGCAATAAATCCAATGCACAAGGAAAACACTGAAAACTACATCCAGTATACACCGAGGAACAGCTATGAGATGCTCGTTTCTAGTTTGTGCATTTGAAGTGTCAATCTAAAAGGAAAGGGAGAAAGGAACTACCGAATTTCCCCATCCTCACCAAGCTCCCCATCTTCAAGCTCCTCATTACCACCATTTCTATGGGAACCATCCCGGTTATCTCTCTTGTGGTAGAATTCTACCTTTCTCGATTTTTTACAGGCCTTTTCTGCCTGCTTTCATGGCTTTCACCATCTGATTCGGGGGTGTATGCATGCTGCCAAGAAGTATCAACAAGAAAATTAAAACATTTCCCACAAGTTAAACTACAGATACACCAGCAGAATTCTACCTTTCTCGATTTTTTACAGTCACTGCTATGTCTGCGTGATTTTTTAGACCCCTATTCCCCATCCTTGTCAGAATTTGCATCATCAGTGGCACTTTGATGCCGTTTCCAGTGTTTCCTATCTTTGTAATTTTCCCTCTTTTTCTCCTCCTTGTGGCCATAACCATCACTTGCATCTATTTCCCATCCTTGTCAGAATTTGCATCATCAGTGGCACTTTGATGCCGTTTCCAGTGTTTCCTATCTTTGTAATTTTCCCTCCTTTTCTCCTCGTGGCCATAACCATCACTTGCATCAACATTTTCACTATCTGTTTCATCCTCTTTTGTTCGTTCCTTTCCCTTTTCCCTGTCACGTTCTTTCTCTTTCTCTCTCTCCTTCTCCTTTCTCTCTTTCTCTTTTCTCTTGTCTTTTTCCTCTATCTTTTTCTTTCCTGGCCTGCCATCAAATAAAAAAAAACAGATGAAGAAATCAAACAACAATACTAACATTATTTGCACAAGGGAAAGCTCACAGATTATCTAAGGTAGAAGCTTCCACGATCAGATTCTTGTGTACTCTCATCTATACAGCATACTAGATTTCCATACCATGACAAGTGTGATATTTATTTCTAATGACAGTGCAGTCAAATAGAAGATGATATTTATTTCCAATGACAGTGCATTCAAATAGATGATGGTTTTGAAATTCCCTTTCTGTTTTTTTTTTTCTCTCTCAGTGTAAGTTAGTTTCTTCTACAGGCAACCCTTGACCTTCTCCTTTTATCAAATATGAATGATCAAGCAAAGGAATATATTAGAAGTATGAAAGTGCTTATGAGCCCCAACCAGAGGCAACCACTTCATATTAGTTTGACTAGTCATGAAGAACTCCAAAAAAGAATGAAGAAACAGTCAGCAGTCATATGAAATGAAGAGACTCACACCCGCTTAGCTAGATATGCTAAAAAAATATAGGTACCTTTTCCTCCTCGTGCTTGTGTTCCTTCTCTTTGGCCCTTTCTTGTAAGCGTGTGACATATTCTTCAAAAATCTCCTTAATCAAACTCTCTTCCCCAATTGATCTATAAAAGAAAAAACAACAGGACAATATGCAGAGGGAATAAAAAAAGAAAACAGATTCTTAGAGATGAATGATGAGCCAGTCTTCTTCAAAGAGGGAGATGGGAGTAAGCAGTAATACCTGTACTCCTGGCTCTCCTCAAAAAGTTGTTTGCAATCCTCCCAGTTAGAAGATGCAATTACTTCCTGTAAGAAAGGATGACAATAGTAGGTTAGATTGGATAATTGAAGAAATATATTTATCTTTCATTCTTTACTCCTTTTCTTTTCTTTCTTTTTTCTTTCTTCTCCCTTTTTTTTTCTTTTGTTTTTTTTTTTGGAAGAAAGATCCAGAGACTGCAAAACAGATCACAGAATGTAACATTTATAAAATATTTTTGATATACCTTAAAAGTATACAGTAGTTTAGTGAAATCATCAGTAAGATGTTGCTATTTTTCAGCTTCTCTCCCCTCCTCCTTGGCTCTTTCAACTGGCTCCTCACATAAAAGCTTCAAAACATAATCAAAATCTTATGTAAGATCCCTACATGCATTGTCCTACTCAATCATTATAGTAAGGCTTTATGAGAAAAAAACATCTAGTTAATGAAACAGTAATTGGGGTGCTCAAACCTGATATGGCTCTAAAAAGCACAAAAAAGTGTTAACAGAAAGAAAAAACAAGATAAGGTCTGGGGCAATGTAATACCACATCAATGCTTGTGAAGCAGCATCATGATAATGAGTATAGATTCGTTCTCATGTTATAATAGAACTTCATCAGGCAGCATAGGTCGTAAGGTGCACTAACAATAATTTCCTCAACCTTGCACATGTGCATGCATCAAAAGCTTACCATATAACTTTTCATTAAGGCAAACCATCATTGCCATGTTAACAATCTTAGATTCTTAAGAGACTATCATCAGCATTTAAAGTTCAAGGGCAGTTTTATGGTAAAGCAGACAGACTTGTTTCATAATGAAGCGAATGCATTCTGCAGGTTGAGTTTGATTTGCTCCTCTGGCGAACAAGAATTTTCTCTCTTAAACCATCAACTGGTTCAGAACAGAAGAAAAGTTCTTTGATAACATATAATAACCCAATTTATAGCACATAATCTCTTCATTTTTGGGCAAACTATAAGGTAAACAGAAAAGGCAATACCTTAAAGTTAATATCTGATATTGGTGGGGAACCAGCACCATCAGAAATAGTAGCCTTGAAGTCTTCAAATGTCCAAGTAGACACCATGGTGATCTGCATCAAATGTCCAAGTAGACACCATAGTGATCTGCACACATAAAGGTTACATATTTAAATGGGGGCAGTTAAAAGAAGCAGCACCGTTTATTATCTTACCTTCCCCAGCTTCATTGCATCCTTTATACGAGTTTTATCATCTTGATACTGTCAACACAAGAAAAGAAAGGTTAGACATGTGTGTTGCAGGTTTCAAGCAGAAAACATAAAGCAGGACAAAACCAGTCATGTAAATATAAAGACAGTGTATTAGATATACAGTGCATAATTTAAATATATGGGCTGCAAGTAACCAAGACAGAAATTCCCACAGCTTTGTGTCAGGACAATAAAAGCTAGTAGTTACTAGTTAAATTATATACTAATAAGAACTGATAAACTTGGAAATATAGGATATGACAAATAAGAAGCTTAAAGCTGTACTAAGACTGGTATTTTGCAACTTAAACTGGTGAAAAACAAGAAAACTCCATGCATGTCAAAGTGAATTCACTACTTGCAAGAGGGTTGCAAAACCAAGGTCACCAATCAAAACTATCACATGAAAAAATTACTAACTTAAGTTATACAATATACATTTTTACCTTTAGTTATATTGTGGGTCAAGATTCAAATGTAACCCACGCCATTGCTTCCTGACTGAGAAAAGCAGGACCTTATACTATACACTTACTATTCCAACATCTAGTCAACCAGAAAGAAGATGCCATCAGATTGAGGGACAAGTGAACCAGTTATGCCAAGGGAAAAAGAAAAAAGCTCTAAACCCAAAAAACAGGAAGAGGAAAAATGTCTCGCATGTCATAATTGTGTTAGCACAAAACCATATAGGTTGACATACAAGACTGATGTCATTTGAATTTTTGCAAAGTAATGAAACCATAAATCATCTTACTTAAAATAATATATGCAAGCCCCATTCTTTCAAAAGAAGGCCCAGAAAAACAGTTAATTGGAGATTTCAGGAATCAGAAATGAGATGGTTACCCGTTTCTGTAATTCTTCAGAAACATCCTCAAACAGATCTTTTGGTTTTGAGCCAGAAGTATTTGTTGCAACAGCATGATATTGAGGCAAATACTTAACCTACAACCAAGAGAGAGAAATAATGAACAAACCAATTCAGATCCAGATATCAGATACAGTTTACCTCTCATCTTTTATTTAACTCTTCTTCTTGTATTTCACAGATAACAAATGAAGATGATACCTTCAAACAATAGTCAAGCCAGTGAGTTTTAGCTGTAAGGGAGCCAGAGGCAACATGTTCTTCCAACAATTTTCGAAACTTGTCACGATTTTTCACGTCTCAATTGTTCCTTTTATGTCGAGAAAAAAGTTGAGGTAAGAACATGCAACTGAAGGGAATAAATTACAGCATAAATGAATGCTACCCTTTGTATCTTCTTTTGTTCCTCTTCCTCTTTCTCCAAATTGTGAATATAGTCCTGCCAGCACCAATATCAGCAGCATCTAGTTCAAAAGAACATATTAAATTACAAGTGAGACAACATCCCTGGAAAATGAGCAAACGATCAAGTTTTTCAAGACACAAGCACCTTTCATCATCTTCTAAGTGATCTTGAATTTTCCGCCACTGGCTGTTGGCCTGAAAATGGAAAAGACTAAGCACACCGAGGTCCAGAAGTAAAAGTGTGATGCTAAATATTTTACATCCCTTAAGAAATACCTTAATGAAATCACAGGACTCCAGAAATTTTCTATATTCTGCTACGTTCCTCCTATGGTCCTCAGCAGCTTTCTCTTTTTCCTGCATTAAACATCAAAACATAAACATGTAAGAACATGATGGCATGCATAGTACAATTAGTCATCCCAGCTTGCACCTGAAATGAGAATGATGGGTTAAACACTTAGAACATAACAGCATGACTGATGTTTCTCCCAATGAAAAAGATTAACTTGATACAAAAATACAGACACCTCCTAGGAGGTACCACTATAATAGCACAAGTGGCGCTAAATGAATCTTATAAGCATTGACCGAGAAATACTACATCTGAGTAAAATAACATTTTTGGATTTCTACATCAAGAGAAACAAATGGAGTTCCTGTTATGAACATACATTCAATAGCATATGGAAACATATGAGCTTTGGTGCTAGATTAAAAATCCACACTAAAAAAAAGCCTCATGAAATTCATTTTTTCATCTTTATTTCACCAAATACAATGTACATGAGCAATACTCTTCCAAAATCAATTTAAATTAATCAAGATTTTTCTCCAAGAAATACAGCTATTTTTATCTAGAAATAAAAATTTTGAGTGGTAATTAAAAACCTACTGAGAGATTTTTGCTTTTGTTTAAATTAAGTAGAAATTTTGAATGTAAGTTTTAAAAACCTATTATCACAAACCTCAAGTTTCAAAACTTTGACTCTCTGCTAGCTATTTAGAGAACAAAGATAATAATACAGAAGATTTTTTATCCAAGAATAAAAGATGATTTTTACCTTCGGACAATTTCATGTATATATGTGAATCTGTGTCTATATTAACTTCAGGTAATATAGACACAGATTCACATTAACACTTCACCTGCATGTATATAGGCATGTTCATGCACAAACAAACAAAGCACAGGTACAGAAATTTTTACCTTCCTTTCAAGTTCCACAATGTAGCTGTCAACAAGATCCTCTCGGTCTCTGGCTCTCTCAACAGCTTTGTACCGTTCATCATTTTCAAACAGGCTTATAGCTTTGCTGAAATAACAAGAGTAACAATAGTAAACTACACCATGCACTATACAGCAAAATAAACAAGATATCAAACTTGTCTCTGAGCAGACTGGAACTTCAACATCCACTTCATGGATCAAGTCAATTCCTTTGACTCCTGATAAAAGATCAAACCATTGAAAAGCATTATAAAAATCAGAGCACAAAGAGAAAAACACGACAATTTAATTGTATGCAACATACTTCCAACATCTTGGTGAACACTTCTCTAGCCTTTTTCTGCCTCATGCGCCTCTCCTCAGCTTCTAGTTTTTTTCCATTGACCCAAGTACTAAAGCAAATTAAATAATCAATTTAACATCAGAACGGCATGAATTGAAATATCAATGAACTTATGGAAAATTAAATCACAATCAGGAGCACTCAAATTTATTTCAATCACAAAAGTTTCTCATTAATATTATGCCAAGGAAGTAACACCAATCTCATTAATATTATGCCAAGGAAGTAACACATAGCATTGATCTGAAGTTTACCTCATTAAAAGCTTGCTTCATTAGTTATCGAACATATTACAAGGAATGGGAACATCCTGTTCTATGGGAAAGATTTGCTCGATTGTAATTTTTATTAGGGTTATGTAAGTGGCATACACCTAACATATGAATGATTGTAAGAAACCATAATCTATTCAGAAGGATGAATTTATAGAAGCCAATGTTTTGAATAACAGAATGGGAGATAAGAAGTAATGACAACTATATCTCCTCGCATCAGAAGCTGTATGTTCTTGCCAATCATTCAAAGACTGTTGACTATTGCTAGAAACAGCAATTGCCTGAAATTCCATAAAAGAATGAGAATAGATGAACAGTTGAGCATGGCCAACCAGATCCTGAGAAACAGTAGCTATGACTGGGAAAAAGATCATTCCTGGAGCAGATAACACAAAACTTAGCATGGATCTGACCAACAGCTGTTGACTATATAGATGCATTTTTCAATGGAAAAAAAGAAAAGCAAAGAAATATCTCATTGTAAGGAAAAGCCAGTAAAACCTCCTCAGGAAGAAAATGTTATTACAAAAGTTTACTTGTTTAGATACAATTAAAATTAGCTCACTCTACTTTCCTAACTATCCACGTTCAAAACCAGAGCACAAAGCATTTTGATCATACCTATGACACAAGTTCACTTCGAAAGCATGCATATGTTGTCATGTTGAAAGGATTAACTTCCAGGGAAACTCGTAATATTTTGATCAAATTCAAAGTTATGTCATTCTTAAAAACTTTCAGTTATATACCATGTTTAGCCACAAACTATCATTTTATCCAAATTTATTCGACCATGCAATTTATTAAAAACAAGGAGCTTAAATATGAATCAAGTTAATGGGAAAAGAGTCTTTGAGGAATCATCAACGACAGCACTTCATAAAGAGTTGTTAGAAGATGAAACATAAATGGTGAACTGATTAAGACAGAGAGGGGGGAGGGGGAGCTTACTGAATCTGAGGAAGATGATATAGAAATCTGGGCAACAGCTGGCTGTACTGGGGGAACAAGTGAAGCACAATAACTTCCATGTGGCAACCAAGGCTGTCCCCCCACGGATACAATAGTTGCATGCATTTGTGACATTGTTGGGAACTGGGGCAATGCACTGGCACTATTTTGTGGCAGGCCAAAAGAGGATGGTGCAAACTAAAACAATGCAAAACTTCAGAAGTAAGTCCAAAAGGCATCCCATGAAACAAGTCAATAAAAAAAGAGCAGATATCTGTTGGTGAGTTCTTACAGCATATGGCAAGGAAATAGGAATCCCTGAGGTGCCAACCCCAGCAAATGATTACTTAATGGAGGGGCAGTTTGCTGGGTCTGTGATGATGTCAGAGGCCTGTTTGGTTGAACATAAGGCATTGACAAAGCCTGTGCTGAAGGTGCCCCAGGGCCAGGCTGATTTGTCCATGGTGGTAGCTGCTGGATTGGTTGTAAAGATTGCAGAGGCTGGGCAGCTGGCATCCCAACATGTGAAGAAGGCATACCTTGTCCAACTGGCCGAAACTGTTGGGAAGCCACCGGAATGAATGGCTGTCCTTGCTGTGCTGGAACCATTGGTCAAAACTAGGATTTTTCCATAATACATGATAACACTCTGATAACACTACCATCAGTCTGACTTGCAAAAAAATTGCACAGAAATGGGTGGACTAAAAGATACAACTGGAGAAGACTGCAGTGGTTAATACACCAAGACATGCATATACAGATGGAGAAAGGGAAAAATCTTCAATTTCATGTTTTGCAAAGAACTTCAGAACTCAAGGCCAAATGCAAAATTGAAAAGTTCTACGGAATTAATGCCATGCCTTGAAACTTCAGAAAAAATATCTAAATTTTAACAATTTCCGATTATTTAAATAAAATCTAATGATGGTCCACTGCTTAAAAATGACCTCTAATGTTGATCAAAACCAAAGCCAGCTTGCATTTTTCAAACAGTTGCTATTATTTATCTCTCTCGTGATATATGTATTATTGCAATATGGCACAGGCAAGCACACAAAAATAAGCCATCTTGAGAGAGATTTCAGGTTATGATACAGAAAAACAGAAGTTGAACTATAACTTTTAATAGTTACCTGTCCACGGCCAGAAAACTGGGGATTAGTGGCAGAAATCAAAAGGATATAATTAATAACCACGCATTGAAGACAAGAATCTGTCGCAAAAAGATACAGCAGCCACAAAAAAAGCTACAGCATGCATCATTTTATAATTGTATTGGCTATTCATCGTATCAAACAGACAGCCAGTGACAAGAACACCAGTTAATTGTCTTCACCTCAAAACCTAGATAATCGACCGAAATTCCTAGCCAGGAAATTGAGAGACATGGCAAGAACATCGTTACATGACATAATGTTAATCAAGAACCGTTTGGAAATGCCAGGAATTAAAATACACACGCACACACACACGAGTAGCCAACAAGAGGTAATATGCACATTATTTCGAGTTTTCAATTTTCGCTATCAGTTACTGAAGTAACCAGACAGAGCAGGCAAATGCAACAACGTAATTGCAAGAAGTGGATAACAAGGAAGACTAAGAAACATTACTTGCAGATAGAATAGAAGGAATTCAGTGAAGAATTCACGGGAGAAAAAAGAAAGTCCACATCTCTCCACGCGCGAGTCTCAGGTGTTAGGGTTCAAGGGGGGGAAAGAAGGGTAGAGGATTTTGACCTGGTTGAAATCAAGTTGGCAGGTAATTTTATTTTTTTTTCGCTTCCCTAATATATCCCTACATTTGGCTGAATTCATGATCATCAACCACGACGGTACTTCAAAGCGGGTGTGGGTTTGATCCAACTCTCGGAAGGATACGTAGCGGGTTTAGATATGCCTTTTTTATTTGATATGGTAATACTTTTTAAAAAGTATTTTTAAAAAAAATATTTTTTTATTTTTAATATCACTATATAAAAACTATATAAAAAATATTAAAAATATCAATTTAAAATTATTTCAAGCAAAATATATTTTTAACACTAAAAAGTATAGTTTTAGTTAAAATACTAAACAATTTTCATGTTCATTTTATTTTGGGTCATGGACTTTTGTTCCACTTCATATATTTAGGGTATATTTGGTATTGTAGTTGCTGTTATGATTGTGGTTTTAAAAAAATTATTTTATAAAAATTATTTTTAGTCGAAGTTAGTTTGAAAAAATATATATTTGATTAAAACTGTGGTTAAAATTGAAATTAAACAAAAAGTAGTTTAATGTGTTTGATTAAAAAATGCTTTTCAGATTGAGGTTATAAAATAATTAATATATATATATATATTAATATTTTTTAATTTAAATATTTTAGATTTAACTATTGTTATTACATCGTGAATTAAATAATATTAATATCAAATATTTTTTGTTATGTGCAGTGTCATTACATACGAAATCTATCAAATAAGGATCATGTTTTCCATGGTTTCTTAAGCGCGCATCAACAAAAACTGAATTTTTTACTTCATGTAGTGTTATTAAATAATAAAGATTGTGATATCTTTATTATTGGAATTGCGATTAGATTTCACAGATGCTACATCATCACTCGATTTCTTTTTAATTTATGTAGTGTTATTAAATAATATTAAATACTGTTTTTTCAAGCAAAACATAATTTTTTTAAAAAAATTACAATTTCATTACGTACAAAAGTCATTCGACAAGAATTATAGCTTTCATGATTTTTTTAACGTGCAATAAAATCAGGTAAAGTTTATCTTGAATAAAACTGAGATTACAATACAAGTAAATTTATTTTATCTTAAACTAATTTTTTTTAAAAAAATATTATTCACGCTGCGTTGGTTTTTCGGGGGTGGGGGAGGCTTGCTCACTGGTTTTTTTTTTAATACCAAATATTGTTCCTAACAATACCCACGAAATGCTACTTCTCCAATTCCGCGATTGAGCAACAAAAATGATGTGGGCCCTACCAAGCAAAATTGATTTTGCTTGGTTTACCAAACATTAAAATATGTGGCTTACCCGTAGCCATATTACCAAACAACGCCTTATTCTCTAGATGTAGTGAATGATTCAGCTTCTCCTGTTAAAGTTAATTATCGTGAAACAAGATTTTTTTATTATTAATATATATGTTTGACTAATTTTTGTATATCTTTTATTAATTTCATAGACTTTCAAATTAATTAAAATATAAATTTTTAATAACCTTAAAATTTACGAGACTTAAACAAATGATTTATAGAAAACAAACCCAGAACTTCATCGATTAAATTACACTTCTCACGGAGCAAACTTTGATTGCCATGATTTTATGGTTTTGGCTTACAATATCATGTCATATAACAATTTGTTTGTATTTATATTTTAAAGATATTTTTTTATTTGTTTTAAATTAATATTTTTTAAAAAATTTATATTTTTTTGATGTGCTGGTATTAAAAAACATATATTATTTTAATATATTTTAAAATAACAAAAACTTTAAAAAAGTTAGCAAATAAACTATATTTTCAAGTCAGAACAAAATCTAGTTTGGTTTTCAATAAAATATTTTTCTTTTATCATTGACGGAAAACATTTTTGAGAAATAATAAAAAAATTAGAAATGTCTTATTATTTATAGATTATATCAAACATAACCATTAATTTTTTTTATCGCTATATATTCTATTATGAATTATTTTTTTAATTTCACCATTTATAATTTTATTTTATTTTATTTTTATATTAACTCTGGTCATCATTCCCTTGATTGTTATTTTTTTTCTCATATTATTTTCTAAATTAAAATATTTTACCTGTTAAATTTGATTTATTTATTTTTATTATTATTTATTTTATTTTAAATATTTTATAAAATTATATTTCTTAATTTATCCTTCTTTATTTTTTTATCAATGAAATTTAATCCTCATTATCCTAACAAACTTAAAAACAATTAAAATATTAATAAGTTATTTTTTAATTTATTTTCTATTACAATAATTGAAGTTAAAAATAATTATTTTTAGGAATCTAATTTTTTAAAATATTTTTTTAACAAAAACTACTTTCCACAAAACTAAAAAATTTCTATATATTTATCTCAACAAGTTCTTTGAACTAACGCCAGTTTGTTACAATCTGGGTATATAACTTTGTACAGAGCCAGCAATGTCGGTCCGAAAGCTGTTGAAAGCTAGTTAAAAGCCCGGTTAGAATCTGGGTGGGCCAGCCCAATAACAATCTACACAAGAAAAAGGACATAAAACGGCATCACCTGGAGCCTTTCTGTAATCGGGCACCAGGGTTAGGGTTTCTCCGCAGCCGCTCTCTTTATCTATAAAAGGGAGGCCAGGGTACAAGTCCCTCTTGAAGCTTCACGGCGCCTAACAAGCAAGGCGTTCTGCCGCTGCCATATTTGCCATTTTAACTTATTTTTCTCTTCTTCTTTTTTGGTTTATACATGTATTATTAATGGATTGTTTTATCCATGGATACTGGAAGAGATTAAAAGGAGGGTTGGTCGCGATGATTATAAAAAATTCCTCGTTCTGAATGCTATCGCCATGGCATGACAGACTCCTCTACACCCATAGAATATGAGCACCAACCTCCCTTGTATCTTTAATTTCGGATTCTAACTTTCTCAATTCTCTGTTTTATTTATATCTGGGTTAAACATTACAGTACTTTTGATTTCAATTAAAGTTTTGATTGTTTTGGACTATTTTTGTTTTATGCCCTTATAAAACTTTCCATATCAAATTTAGGTTATTTTTGCTGAATTAAGCGTGCAGGTGGTGGAAATAATTAAAAGATTCGTAGGAGTTGGACAGTGTATTGAAAGGCATTTACTTGTTGCACTGTGTTTCGTCAACTCTATATGATTATCCGGTGGTGTTTAAAGCCCTAGTTTGATGGAAGAAGAAAATAAGTGGATCTGGGTTACGCGCGCCACCATGTCTCGATAATTCAGTTTTGACTTTTGTTTTCACTTGGACCTGATTTCGTCTCAGTTTTCGACTTGGACATGGATGCTCGGTGTAATTTAATGTTGAGTTGCATCAACTTAAACCCTTGAGCATAAGATCATGCCTAAATAAATTGTTATTTCTAACCAGACAATCATTCAGATTTTCAACGCTCTGCATCGTTGAAAATGAGGGATACCAACATATACATAAATTTAAAAATTATTTTATAAAAGATATATTTATGACTTGTTGCACTGAGTTTCGTCAATTTTATATTAAGTATAAAATTAAATAAAAATAGCAATCTAAATAAATCTGAATTAAGTACAAAATTAAATAAAAATAGCAATCTAAATAAATCTGAATTAATATGAAAAATCATGTTTTTAATCATGAAACTAGGGTAACACATTGAAAAAAAAATTAAAAAAACCTATAAGATCAATATTTTTTATAAAAAAATAATATTGAACACTAAAAAAAACATGTACACAATGTAAATTCACCCTGGATATCCAAAGTGTCCCCCCAATTTAGAGTTTATTTTAATTTTAATTATTTTTTATTAAAATGACACTGCTGTCTGGGAATGTCCAGTCCGTTGGTGTCAAATCAAGGGGACCATTATTTGAATGAATCTGCTATAAAATGGTCATAATTAAGTTTATTTTTCCGAAAATTGAACATTTTTTCAATTTCACGGCGCAATTTGTACTCGTTGTCCTTTCATGCGCAAGGTTTTCGCTGGCCTGCAACTGAACCTTTACGCAAGTAAGGAGAACAATATGGGGCCATTCCATGGAGCAGAGGAACATTACCTTCCCTATATATACATGGCTTCGAGGAAGTAGAGCTCCTATCCATCGCAACGATGTGATCAAATTCTCTTGCGTAGTGTAAAATGCATCTGAGAAGCCCCCTGAGTGATGCCTCCCATTTGAATCAAATAAACCATGGTCTCTGTTCTTCCAAAGATTCTAAGAAGCAGCTGCAAGTATACTAGCCAATTGATAATACCTAAAAAAGAATTTTCCAGCCCTGGTTAGATTCTCAGCCCAGCATTAGCATCGGTCCATCTACTCCTACTCTTGGATAGCCTTCTATGTGTTCTTTTTTTAGGTTTTCATGAGCTCCGCTTATAAAAACTTTATGGATACAAATCTTTTTATGCCGATCAAATATTATTTTTTATGTTAATGACATTATCATCATTAACTTTTTATTAATAATATGCATGGCATAATAACTAACATGACTATTAACCGGTTAATGTGAGCGCATTAATTTCTTCATTGATGATGTGTCTTTTTTTTCTTTTAAAAAAAGTTCAAGAACTGAATTTATAAATACATCACATAATGTAACAAAAAAATATATATCATACAAGCTCTAGGCATACTATACAATATCTC